TTACCGAACCCGAAGGTTCATCACCGAATTAACCAAAGCCCTCCACCGGACCCTGTCCTGGGCCAACAAAATCCAGTCTCCTTCACCTCCTATCTCCCATAGATCCCGCCTGAGATTATCCTCCCATCTACGTCTAGGTCTCCCCAGCGGTCTCTTCCCTTCAGGTTTCCCAACCAATACCCGATGCACACCTCTTGTCCCATCCATGCGCGCTACATGTCCCGCCCATCTCACTCTTCTCGACTTAATCACCCTGACAATACTGGGGGAGCAGTACAGATTTTTAAGCTCGTCATTGTGCAGTTTTCTCCACGACCCATCGTCTTCCCTCTTAGGCCCAAATATCCTCCTCAACACCCTGTTCTCAAACACCTGCAATCTGTGTTCCTCCCTCTGAGTGAGAGACCATGTTTCACACCCATACAAAACAACAGGCAAGATTATTGTTTTGTATACTTTAATTTTCAGGTTCTTAGAAATTAAGAATTACCATCATGAAGAAAATCTTACTTCTCCCGACGGATTTTAACTTTGAAATTTTACGAAGTGGTAGAACTACCAGCTTTGTTATATGGAAGAAAATTAAACCAGGAGACATAAATGAACTGCAATCAGAACAGACGAAATGAAGACGGCTCGAAATATGTACTAGACCAGAGCATATTAAGAATGCATATATAAGGAAAGAAATCAATATTCAAGCAGGACAGAATAAAACAGATGGACACAAACAAAGTTCGATAAGGCATTTGGACAGATGGCAAATAAAAAGATGTGGAAACAGAATTTAGAATATCGACCAGAAGGACGTTGAGGCCGAGGCAAGGCGTCGAAAAGACAGGAGGAGGATTTGAAGTGGAAAAAGGAGTAAGTGAAGAAGAAGAAGATGATTGGAGAATGAATTGTTACCACGACGAAATAAAAAATATTTTTAGGAAGACTTTGCAAAAGAGACCGAAACATTTCGACTGTTTTAGAGGAAATTCTACAGAACACGAAACGCGGACTCACCAACAGAACTTTCAATGAAAGGAGATAAAAGAAAAGAAACGGCCACGGCCTATTTTACCGAAGCTGTAGACAGGGCAAAACGGAAATACTTCACCCAGGAACAAATAAATGTAAAAGGAAATCAGTTATCAGAAAAAGCGTCACTGACTTGGCAGATGACGTAGGATGAATGAGTAACGAACTAACAAACTGAACAGAACTTCTTAAGAAGCTATTCTTCGCCTCTTACAGAAGCCGGAAGTTCTTTACTGCATTTACGAAAGCCCGCAACCAGCCCTGTCCTGAGCCAGATAAATCAAATCCACACGCCCAAACCCCATTTCCCCTAAGATCCACTTTAACATTATCCTCACAGGTCTCTGAAGTGGTCTTTTCTTTCAGGCTTTCAAATAAAAACTTTATACTTTAATTCTCATCTCCGCCATGCGTACTACATAAAAAGCCCATCTCACCCTATTTAATTTGATCCTGGTTAAGAACTGCCTGCAATGTACAAAAATCATCAAAAAACGTAAATTTTCCCCAGCTTCTTATCAGTTCATTCCGTTTATTCCATGTTTTCTACTAAGGATCCTCTTTTCTAAGACTTTACGCCAATTCTCTTACCACAGAATAAGTCTCATACACACATTTGTTTAAATCTTGTCAGTCAAATCACAATAAAATTCCTATTAAATATTAAAATATTACTATAATTAACATTTAAATATTTAAAATGATGTTCTCTATCGAAATGTTCGATTTACATTAGAACATCACTTTTCACACGACATGTTTCAGTTCTAAAAGAACCATCTTCAGGTGTATAAAATTATATAAACTTAAATATAATTTCTTAAATGCAACTTTTTAGTCAGATGTTTATCAGATATAAAAATGATGTTTTCTTCCAGATTTTATACACATATAAAACGGCAAGAAGGATTTTATAAAATGCAATGTTCTATTCAATTGAAGTGCCATCTGCTTATGTAAAGACGTGCCTTACTTTATTCAAAAAAAGAATCCACGTGTTTGAATAGTATCTTCATAAATTATTCCTGTTTTATTTGAAACGTTTTAAAGGGAGTGTTTGGATTCGTCACATCTTGTAGTTTTTACATTTTAAGAGAGACTGGCTGTGGCTCGAGAGTAATTAGGTGCTTCGAAAATTCATTTGTTTCGCTACGTCCTTTTAATGAGACCATGTTTTTACGAAATCGATTTGTGTGCCATGTTCTTGTGGGCAGGGAGGAGAGTGTGCTGTCGATTTGTGAAGTCAAGTGATTGACTACAGAGCCGAATGATGTCAAACCACATCTTGAATTTCCAAGAGACTCGAAAAAGAATTTTTCACATTCTTTGGTGGTTGTTATTCTGCCTGCGATTTTTCAGTTCCTTTGAGTTTCTCCGCGCACGTGGGCACGAACAATAATGATGCAACTCTGACAAGGGCTACTCAATTATACAGAATATCGATCGATTTGGGCTGGGAGTAAATATTGAGCAAGATATTCAGTTTTACTTTTGTAAAGTAACGGTAGTGTTTGCAGTATTTTATGGCTGGCTGACTGACTAATAGTTGACTCTACAAAGCTCCTCAACTTGCAATATCTCAGGTCCACAAAATTCTCCTCAGCGTCCTCGCCTCGAAAACGGTCTATTCCCTCTTCTTCCATACGGACTAGAGACCTTGTTTACACAGACATATAAAACAAGGGGTAAAATAATACTATTGCACATTTTAATCTCAAAAATTTTAAACATGAAATCGGAAGACAAAAGACTGGAACAAAGGTGGCACACCGAATACGAACTTCAGAGTTAATTCTCTTTACATCTGTTTGGCAGTCACTGCAGTTATAGCAATAAAGCAAGAAATATTTAATATAATTTCTATGTCAGTGGCTAAGAACTGAGTTTTATTAAACAAACTCCTTGCTTGCTAATTTGTTTACGAAGCTTAATTACTTTAAGTGTATGCAATATAATTAGGACGATCTCTTGAGGTAAACAGCAAAAACACAGAATTCATCGGTTAACCATTAACCATTAACTGAGCAATACGTCATTTGATTAAAAAACATTGGTCAGAAAAATTTGTACGTTTATAGCCTATTGTAATTGGGACTTGCAAACAGCGTCATTAAATAACGTTATAATAAATCAAAATGCCACGTTCCTTGATACATCGCAGTTCTTTGATTACACCAATTCAATCCAAAAAATATATAGGCTATGTAAAGGTTTACTATTAATATCTTTGTCATACACAAGCGACTAGCTCAATTTACGACCAATGAAATCAGCCGTTGAGTAGCCTGACCGGGTCGCAGATGAATTTATTACCATCATCTGAAGGGACACAAAGCATGAAGTCACATTTCCATGTTTGCGAGACGTCCAGGGGCACAATCTTCATCCTGTGATGTACAAGAAGACATTTGTTTCCAACAATCCTAAACGTCCAGGTCCAAGTTCACGGCATCTTAAATGCGAATAGCAAAAAGCTGAAATCGGTTCATAGCAGCCTTTTCAACATGTTTCCCACAGTCTGCCTAAAAATTCGGGACTTCACTGCTGATAGCTGATATTAAAAATTAAGATTCCGACAACCGGAAGTATCAATTCACACGCGTTCCGAAATACTTGGACGTAGGGAACATGGATTGAAATCCAGATCGAGGAATAATTATCTCACAGAGTTTAAGATTTTGTAATTATCCCAGTCTCTAACCGCGGAGTTCTAACCATTGATTGAAAAAAAACCTACTTAGAAATGATGCTACGGAGAAGACAAAGTTTCTAACAGGTCTTCAGCGTTAAAGAAGAAGAATATAAAACTTGGAACAGACTACCAACAGAACCAGACTGGAAACTTTTAATTACAAATTTACCTATCATCAGCATCTTTGGTTAAGTACCTGGGCCGTCCCGGTTACAAGGTCTGAAACTGTTAAATTCATCTTTTTATCCGACGCTCGTAATGTTTTCTGCACATCGATTTATATCGATAGAGCAACTTCGTGGCACAGTTACCGGACACACTTTTCTTTTGCCATCTTCATATAACCCATATACCGAAGACCTAGGAAAATAACGAAATACTAAGACCCGGACAACCTATTTCCAGGCCGAGATATGAACCTGAGATTTTCGAAATACTAAGCAGAATTGCTAGGATTCCGGGCATGCTCTTAAGCAATCCATTTGGTTACACAGAACACATACGACGGTACGCCAGACGCTGGATCCACAGGAAGGGCAGCTGTTATAGGATTCAGAACATTCCGCCAGACTGCTCAGTAAATGTTCCTTAATAGCTGCCTGTTGAGTTGTTTTAACAGCCATGGGTTCATCACTCTGGTGCTGCAAAGCAATTACAGCCACCCCACCCCCTTGCGTCTGCACTCATACGCATGAGCGTTTCTTTACAGATAAATTATCACGCTCAGACTTGGTTTCGAGTTTACAGCTCAATGATTTACATGCCAAAATAAAGAAGAATGTGATAAAATTGGATTAAAAGATAATTTTATAAAATATTATAAAGCAAATAACTAGCAACTTTAATGAGTTGTCATGCCCGTTTGATTTTAGATATATGCATACCATATTTATCATTTCACGGGCTATATTACACAAAAAAATCCAACGAAATTGCACGCCTGATAAAGCAAGGAACAGAGGCCATGAAATATACGGGCTATCACTACCACCTATGAACTTTAGTGTTACTTATTGCTAGGAACTGAAACGCACGAAACTGATGAGAAAGCCTCCAGCGGCACGACGTTGTGTAAACAGAGTTTAGTTTTAGTCTGATTCCCCATCAGGACAAACGTATTCTTAACAATGAAAAGCTGTGCAAACGTTAGTTTAGACAATATGGTGAGGAGTTACTGTAAAGCAACGCACCGATCCGTTAGACAATATGGTGAGGAGTTATTGTAAAGCAACGCACCGATCCGTTAGACAATATGGTGAGGAGTTACTGTAAAGCAACGCACCGATCCGTACAGCAGCCCGCAGCTGTCCATGCAGAGGAACAGGCACGTCGCGACGCTCTGTACCAGGAGCTGTCCCGTCTTCACCGAGTGCCGTTGGAGGATAGCTGCAACAAACAGAACATCAATTGAGAGTAATAATACCATTGATTCCACCAGTTTCAGGTTCTTTAGCGATACTCTTTCAAATGTGTAGGTTATATCTGAATAGGTAAGAAGATGGGAGGGGAATATTAAGATTTTACTGATATCATTATCATATCAGCATATTTCACTCGTTAGTCGAATTTCTTTCTGGAAGAGTCGTCTACAAATGCTAAAGATTTAGCAAGAAATCTATTAATGATACAAAAATTGAATTTCGAACAACGAATGACAACATTCATACCACAAAAAATGGACGCCATGTTGGTGTTTCTGATATGTATTTACCAAGTAGGCCTTTTTTAAAAGTGGTCTTAAATAGTATGACGGCTGTGTCTTTTATCTGCAATGTTAATGTTTGTACCTAAGGCAATAACAGACTAGAGGAAATAACTAGATAAGATTTCTACGGATTTCATAACAGCAGGGAAACCATGTACCACTTACGAAATTACTAACGCTTCAAAAAATACTATGCACCACATTTATCAAATTGGCACGTTCTTGGACACTTTCTTCGGCCTGTTGGTGAAAACAATTATGTATCGAGAGCTAGCTGTACTTTCTACATCAGGAATAAGTACAAAACCTAAACTATTCAATTCATTAGACACAGCTAATCTTCATTTCAAACTTTAGACGATCCACAGCGTTGGTTAATTAACCCTAATTAATCCTAAACAGGGACCCGCGTGTAGATCTGCCTCGCACGACGTGTAATTGATTAAAGCGAAAAGTGACGAGTCTCATGGTGCCGGCCTCACATTTGCGGAGCGCGTGTGACTTAATCCGGCCGAGGCATACAAGAAATGAGGACCTCAGTGGTCCGGTCCTGCACCCCTGTCCATACAAATCTCAGATGCAGAGTGTTTAAAATTCTTGCTTCAGCCGTCTGGGATGTTGCGCCTTGCATTCTGGTACAAACTGACTTTTCAGAAATGCTTACTACCTCCAACATAAGGGCACGACATCCCAGAAGACAGTCAACTCCCTAAATTATCATTCAGACAAGAAATACGATCCTTTATGTGAGAAATAAGGCCATTACAAAGCCTCTATTTGCACAAGGTCGGTGGACTAGTGGTTAGCGTGCTCGCCACTGGACCCAAGGCTCGCGGGTTCAATCCCGGCCGAGGTCAATGGAGTTTTTAAGGGTGATAAAATTCCGTAACACAACTTCCTTCGGAGGGGAAGTAAAGCCGGCGGTCCCATTTCGTAGATTTATGGCATGTAAAAGAACCTTGAGAGCATGATACGAGATGTTTCATAAGCAAAATTCAGCGGACATTTCTCACCCAAGTCTCTCCTGGTTCACTACTAGATGGCTCTAGCAGTCAGGAGTGAGTAGAATTTGTGCAAAGTCAGTGGGCTGGTCACTCACTACTCTTCAATGCACGCTTTAAAGACTATAAAACCTCCGAATGGAGGCGGCGATGACCCGCTACTGGGTTAAGCTATAAATAGATAGATAGGATAGAAAAGAACAATAAAAATTTAGTAAGGTTCAAAAAGTGCACTCATTATGAAATATATAATTTAATTTTATTCCTTATAGCAGATTTTGATTAAATCTCGACTTTCAGTCCCATATCTTCCATGTACCACCATCTACATTATAAAGATCTTGCCAGAGGACATATTTTTCAAAGCCAAACCGTGTTTTCGATTCATAGTGTTGTCCTTAATTACAAATTCAACTTCTGGTAAAAACACAAAAATAATCAGGATTAGGAGAGCGTGTTTTATGCTTGATAGTTGCATTTGAAATGGCTTTAGCCCCACAACGACACCAGTCGCGTCAACTCGTTATCGTCTCTCCCAGTGTCCACACGACGAGGCTTGAACAACCGAAACGCTGCTGTGTCCCTTACTTTATACATCGCTTTCGTCCATAAATCAAGCGATCGATGGGTCCGCCCGGAGGACCCACGTAGCATACATAGAGGTCCACAGAACTAAAACCACTTCAAGATGAATATTAAAGACTTCAAACGAATTGGACAACACATTTCTTGCTACGTTAAACAGCAGTACTAAGAATTGGAACGGGTGTACAGCATTATGGCTGAGGATTATTCCATAAAGCTTTCATGTACCAGCTATAAAAGGTGAAAGCAGACACAACAGAAATGTTGGTTATCATTTTAATTCAACGACGCGTTCACAGACTTTTTAATAGCAATAGTACACCGCCTATTACGACCAGCTGAACCCTGGGGAAGGCGATCCATTGGCACCAAACTCTATCTGGAATTGAACATTACTAGCTTTTTCCATATTAACGTCTAGAAACACGTGATAATTCAACGGTCTAATTCACCAAGATGTTTTATTCTACGAGGTGTGATCGGAAAGTTTCAAGACTGCGCCTATAAAAACCCGTACACTTATCTCAGGTATTAAATTCATCCATCACC